TTTTGTTATTATTATTATTATTTTATTTAAATGACCCATTTTATCAGGTGACAGCAGTTCTGTAATGGTCCTGTGCTATAAAATACAAATGTAATACTTCTGCATGAAGTATAGAATATTTTTTTTTTCGCAAAAAAAATATTTGGGAAAAGTAAAAAAAAAAAAAAAAAAAAAAAAAAAAAAAGACGACAAAGTGTCTTTTCAATCCATTCTTATACAAGCGTAAACAGGTTTTCAAACAACTAATTATAGGCCAGATCATAACATCTTATGCTGCAGGCCAAACTAGAATGCTACAGTATCCGTGTATGTATATACAAATACATCTGTATACATTTATATATACACATACAAACACATATACATAAAAAAAGGAAGCACCCATCTTTTTCATACTGCTAAATATTGAGCTTCTGCTTTCACCTGGATATTAACATAGTTTATTGTGTGTAACACCCTATAAAGGGACATTTAAGAAGATATTTTTCATTTTCTTCTCATTAAAGCCGCACATATGGCTGGCATTTAAAAACATGCAGTGCCACCAACTAACACAGAGTAAATAAATTCTTAGGTACAATATCAACTCTTTAAGAAATGCATAATATATTTAAATCTATTTTACCCATTTGTGTAGATAATTAATACTTTCCACTATTTCATAGGGGACCTATATTCTTCTTAAAAAGAGTCAGCACAAATTCACAGGAAACAACTCCATCAAATGAATTCCACAGCAGCATATGTAGTGAGTCACTGGGTGAAACTCTTTTTTATGAACACATTAGGAAAGTTGGCATTCAGTTCTAGGACAACTCTATTATCAATTTGCGAGCAGAAGGACACGTCGAGTAAAGAAAGATCTTTACAAGACTCTAGCAATTTTCTTAAAGATGCAGGGCTCACCATCCTCGTTCCTGTTCAAAAACAAAAAAAGAAACAAAACAAATTGTAAAGTTATTGAGTAGCCTTTTTTTTTTTAAAGCTGCTAATAACATGTCATGAAAAAATACTACTTTAATGCAATTTTTATTTAGATTATTTCCATTAGATTTCAACTGAAAAACTTGGAGACAATGCAGAATTTTTGCCTTTAAGCAGCCTATTGTATTTTCCTAACCCAACCACTTAAGTAACTCCATTGTTTTCTACTATATGTATCTACACACCCCCTTATAGCTGATGGAAATCTAGCACAGTCAATGGTGCTTAGCACATGATTCAGTTGCCCCTCGGGCTTCCTTACACTGTGTAGGACATACACACAGAGCTGGCAGACAGGACATTGGACCCAGAGAAACAGACCCATGCCTTACTGGAACGGCTGGAAGCCAGGCAAGTTCCTTTGGGCAAAAGAAACAAGTCTGGATGTCTACAGTGGGCTAAAATCGCTCATCAAGCCCTCCTGATTCTAAAAAGAGTTTATACATCCCATGTGACTGCAGACACCTGCTGGTAAACACTTCAACTTACAGAGCTCCATCTTAAACTGAATTTCTCCCCCTAAAAGCCATCTAACCCAGGATCTTACCTATGGCCAGAGCCATTAATGCTTCCCCTGCCCCCCTCCCCAAAAAAACCAAGGGCATATTTTTAAAGTATCTTTTAAAACAATGGTCATTTAGCGATTTCTGAAGCTTCCTTTCATGAATGTTACTAGTTTTCTGAACTTTTTTATACCTATTGCCACTTCACATGAGTTCTACAGTTTAACTATATAATGTTAAAAAAAAAAATCAGCCTTAAACCCACTGTCTATTAATTTCAATAATTAAGGGGCAATGAATCACAAAGAAGCAGTGAGAGATCCTACCCAGTTCACTATTTCCACATTATCCATAACCTCTTCTGTTCGCTGAAGGCTCTCTGTTTTCCAGAGTCTTTTGTATCACAGATGAACCCTGTTGTCTTGTTTCTGCACTAATTTAGTGCTTTTGAAATTGGATGACCAGAACTACACAGTGCACGAGCACAAAGCCAGTAACTGCACAATGAGGTCTTATGGTGTTTTCTGCATTGCTTTCCTAAGAAATCCTAACCTGTTTGCTGAGCAATCAGCTGATTTTTTCCAGAAAACTGTCCACAGGATCTCTTTCCTACAAAACAGTAACTAATACAAAGCCATATGCTTACTTAACGTTGTTTTGCCTCATGTGATTACTTTGCACTTGATGGAACAGTTTTCCTCCTGCTTTATCATCTGTTTACTATCACAAGATCATTCTGCAATTTCTCAATGTTAAGTTCTCCAGTTTAAGATTTTTCTACCCTGAATATCCGTGCATCACCCTGTTGTACAGCATTATTCACCCCTTTGCCTGGATTACTTATCAACAGATCAATATAGACCCTTGATGACCACAGTATTGACGTAACTTCATTATGAAACGAGACGATATGTTCTTATCCTTTTTCTTGTCATTGAAACACTCATTACAGTCCAGGAGAAGACAGCTAAGTTACAAAAGCCAAGCAACCTTGGCTAAAACTTCTGAAAATCCAGTCTTCTATGGACTGGATCAGTGCTCACCTTCACCAAGAACTCCAAGGAACTCTAAAAGACTGGAGAGGGGTAACTATACTGTCCTCACAGGGATGCAGCTCTCCTTCAAAATATCATAATGGCCCTCATGCCCAGTGACTGACTGACTTCTTATGGTTGAAACTGGTTTACACAGAGCAAAAGACAATCGTACTGTTTTGTAGCTTCTAACCTGCACCTTTTATAGAAGATTGTGCCGTGTCTGTAACCCTGCAGTCCTCCAGCCCTGAGGCTGATTTAAGCGACAGATCACACACCAGAAATAAAATTTCCACAGCCTTGTGTTTTAGCTCATTTAGAACCGCTGCATAAATATCATTTAGTCCTAACGATTCATTACCGTTCAATATATTGATTTGTTCAAAAGCTTTCTGTATTGGCATTCCAATTTAAGGCAGCTTTGCAAGCTAATCTCCTGGAAAGAATGGCTCTAACAGGGCAGCCAACTTGATCCCCCTTGCCATGAACACTAATGGACAGACAACATTTCTCCTGCAATTACTTTCTCGTATCTGAGTGATCCTCTACCTCTGGTGTATCTCCCAACCTCAGTAACCCTCCTGTAAACCTCTTCTAACGTATCTGAAATACAGTTTTAGCATTTACCTTCAGCCAATAGTTCCTTAATATTTTATTCTGCCTTACTGTTACTTTGCTTCACTTTCTGGAGTTCATCTCCCCATTTTCCTTCTCTGAACAGGATTAATTTCCAGAAAAATGCCTCTGTTTTCAGTAGTTTCCTTTTTTATTCTTCATAAGCAAATGAGTGTCTAAGTGTGTGTGGTCTTCACTTCTCCTACTGTAGGCTCTTTGATTAGTTGCTCTGAGACATCATTTAACATCACCTGAAAACAGTCTTTGCTAACATGCCCCAAAATTTTACCTCATCTACGTAGAGGTAATCAAAGCTCATCAATATTATTGTTATTATTGTGATTTTTCATTCCTTATCATTACTCACCACAACCCTCCAGTGGTTGATGTAACAGTCCCTATGGCCACACACAGAAATTCTGTAATAGGCTTCAGCTGTTCACCTGACCATAATTTTACCAGAGCACCACTGTCCTACCAGCAGGACCTGCTCTACCATTCCAACTGAAGCTCTAGGAACAACCCATTATGCTACTCATCTGTTTTTTTCTAGACAACCTTAAAATTGCTACTGCATCAGCACCTTCATTTAAAACCAGTCTCATTTAGGCATCACAGTTTTTCTGCTTTAAGATCCAAATCTGCGTTTCCACCAAAATGCGAGATCTAGATGCTTAGACACAGATTTTTTTGTGTAGGATGTTCTTCATTCCTTCCTACCTGAACTTCAACAGTTTTTCTACCGTTTCATCTAAGACTAAGATTTTTAATGGATTTGTAACTAAATAGGCCATCCTAAATTGCATGCTTTACTGCACCTTTCTTCTTCCCTCCTCCGACTTAATTTTTACATTAGGAAATATCTTTTCCTAGAAGCTAAAAAGGCCAGCAATCTAGTTGGGGTTTGGTTATCCACGTCACAGGATAAGCAAGCAGCCTTACTATACAGTGTACAATTATTGATATATATTTCTTAAAAGCACATTCAAAAACATTTCAGAAGTGCAATACAGCACAATTCCCTTTGCCTTTGAAAGACTGACAATGCATTCCCCTACTTACCTATATAGTGCATTTTTCTAGAGTTTGAAGGCTTTTGGACCTTTGTTGCCTACTAGAACTTTTCCGACATGGACTAATTGGCTATTTTTCAGGATAAATACATAACTGGAATATTAAAATCTGCTATTTAATTTTGTTGTTCAGTTTATTCCCTGGAAAAATTTTCTGGTATTGCCTTTGTAAAACGCAATTCTGAGTAATGACTTCTTTTCTAGAAAAATTATGTTTATTAACTGTAAAATATTTCATCTATCATATATCCAAGTCTTTAAATTCAAGAGCTGTTGAGGAGACCTGTGTGTGATGGCTATAAAAATTGCCAGAACCCCAATTCCTAGGGCAAGGGATACTACTACGTACCAAATAATATTTAAGAGTAGAGACCCTGAAAATAACTAACATTATTTCCATAATTGTTCCCCTAGACCAGCCAGATTAGCCTTTTATTCTTTGCATTTTATTCAATCTATTGCACACAACTCAAATTCTAAATTTTAACGTGCTACACATTTTCATGTTTGAACTAACTACGTGTTGATGCTCTCAAGCTAAAGCTGAAAATGTTGACAGCTGGCAAGGGGGCAGTTAGGTTTTCTGTTGCTCAGGAAGGTGTGGGAGGTGTTGGTATGTAGATAGGAACACATGAATTTTGCGGTAACAAGGGTGTCTACTTTTCATTACTCTTTTTGTGCAGGACAGAGGCAGTCAGGACTTTTGGGGAGCGAGGTTAAGAGGATTTATTCTTCATCCTTGACAGCAACTGGTAGCCCAACGGCAACATAACTAAGCAGTTGATATGATGTACAAGAAAAGCTTTTGGCACTACCAATTCAGGCTGTCATCCGACTCGTCACATTGCTCAACACAGATCACAGTTTGAAGACTGGGTTTTAGCTACAGGTCTAGGGGTGTCCGCTTCACTTTTGACAGCACTGGATGACGTGCCCCATCGCTACAAAACTGCCAGATGATCACAGCTGGACCACTCTACTGCAGAGTGGAAACCCACCACCTCAGTCAGTGGAAAAGATGTGGGCAGAGAAGGCAACGATACTTGTAAGGAGGCAGCTCAGTATGTAATGGGTAAAAGCAAACTCAGAAACAAAACTTCAAGATGCATACCCTCACATACTCAGTGACACACACCATGCTTCCTCTCCCAAATTGTATTATAACGCAGCAGATATGGATCCAACTCATGATTCAGATTTTAAACAGAAATTTACTTTCTGAAGTGTGTTTTACACACTACAAACACAGCCACCCATCAAACAATGCTCTACGTGGACCAATAAGTTTATGAAGCCTTTGAAAATTGGCAATTTTCATTGTCTACAGTGTCCTTTGATTCTGTAACAAGGGAATTGCCAAATGATAATGGAGAGACAAAGTAAAGGACAGACGGGTAGCAAGCCGCAGGACTTATCACCTGAAAATAGCATCCAGGGTACATACAACATTCACTTCGTAACACTTACACGAATGACATGCAGTTCAACAAGGTTTCTTTCAGCGGCTTAGACTCCTCCAGTCCTGAAGCTATTGTGGAGATAAATAATCTATAACCGAAACAAGCTTTTCCTGACAAATTCATAAGTTCAAACAACCGCAGAGAGAAACCAGTATGGTATTGTCAACGCTGGTGACTGCAGTGCAAGGTAGAATCTTCTGATCCCTACTTAGCTAAGTGCCTGTATATAGCAAAAAAACCTCAAGCTTTTACACAGCTTTATTGAAGCAGAAGTAGTTCCTGTACAGCATGCACTGCTAACCTCGCAGCAATACTTGTACACCCTTCACAAAGCATGTACAAGCCAGGCATCTCTGCGCTTGGGAGACGACAAAGGATATAATGAGAGTACCTTTCCTTCATTCACATCATAGAGAAGACCCACTGTTCAAGGTTACTCTTGCAAAGCTGAGCACTGACCTCAGGCCTCTAACAGCTTCAGACCTGTTGTCACACTTCTTCAAAAGGACAAAAACATGTTAAGCATTTATATAACTGACAGTAACAGGATGGCCCTACATCAACCGCCAAAAGTTAGAGCACATCCAGAGATTTATGACTTTCATGGTACTCCCACGCTGTGAGAGACTAGCTCTTTAGTTCAGACAGCAGCAACTTCTGCACTTACATGGGAACGTCTGGCCACTCTACCTCCAGATGACCCGATGTGGTTCTACTTGACAGCTCTTTGTTTTAACCACAGACTGTAATGGTTTCCCATATTCGAAGGTGGGTAACTCCTTCCCATACCTTGTACTCGTTTACAGCAGAAGACAACCTTTTACCTCCCCTACTAAGTATTCCTCTGAAGGAAGAAAGCGAGCTCTGGAAGGTGGGTATTAAGGTTCTTGCTGATATCTTGCAGATATTTCTGGATAAAACTGGATATCCTCCCGAGAGCACCTATCTGAACCAAACACAGTCTCACTGGGAAAGGCTGACTACAAATCCACTTGACTCAGCTCATACTAAGCAGTCAAATTACACGGTTGGTGTAAATCCACTGGATTCTGAGTCAGAAACTCAGTAAGAAAGTCAGAAAGGCAGTAAGTAAAACCTCCCTCTGTTCTTTTTCAGATGCTAATGCATAATTTTAAGAAATATTTATTGAAAAATATGTCTAAAACAAAGTTCTGTCTTAAGGACTTTTTAGCTGCAAGGCTGTTGAGACGCAGTAAGAAGTACACCAATGGCCATACGTTTTCTTACCCAATATATCCAGCTGCCGTAAGTGCGTGCAGTTGGCAGCAAGCTCCTCAATGTCTGTGTCACACACAGACCTGTTGGCCGTAAGAAAGAGCTTTTGCAAGTTTGGGAGTTTACGGGCAAGGTTTGTGAAACAGCCCGTACTGCTCTGTAACGTCGGGCACCAGCCAAGATCAAGTTCTTCCAAAAGCTGGCAGCCCGAAGCCAGTTCTGCTATTCCGCTTTCAGTGATGTTTTTACATCGCCACAAATCCAGACTGCGAAGCTTTTTGCATTTTGCTCCCATCATGCTCGCTATGAGATCGTAGTCTTCAATCTGCAAGGAAAGCAAACACTTTGTCATGTAAACCATCTTTCCAGACACACAAAGGTGTTTCAAGATTTGCTCGTGAACACACCTACGGATCCGTTTTCAGCATTTGTCATTTCTGAAGAGCTCTGAGAAGTATCCACTGTAGAGCACAGTGAGGTCTACTTTTACAAAAGACAAAACCAAAATAAATTTCCTATCAATCTCTAGGGTTTTTAAATTCACTTAATTCTAAAGAGCGGTGAAAAGTTCATTTTCTTTGAAAACTCCTTGTTTTTATTGCACAGTTGTTTTCCCTTCAAAATGTGATTAAAACTGTTTTCATGGCCACAGGCACTGCCACCATAAGCACATGCAGATTTCCATTCTAGGAAATCCATGCTTATTTCCATTCTAGGTTGATCGGTCACTGCATCTTCTTATGGAAGCCTTATCAGTTACGTTGGGCAATCCAAGGGCAAACCAGGGTCCCACCATACAGGCAAAAGGAATGAAATCCACTATCAAAAAGCCGTAGGAAGACTATGATTGTTGGGAAAATGTAGTCATGCTGCCTTCCCCTTCTGTCCATGAGTCAAAGCAGGGAAGGCTGAGCAAATTCTGCTTAGTTGCTTACTTCTTGAACTACCAGGAATGTCAGCTAGGTCTCCCAGATGAGTTACCTGGCATGTCTACCTGGTCTAGTGGGAGGTGTCCCTGCCCATGGCAGGAGTGTTGGAACTAGATGATCTTTAAGGTGCCTTCCAATCTAAACCATTCTGTGATTCTATATGTACCACCAGGGCCAGCAGCAAGCCAGAATCCCTCTAGACACAGCTCTGGCACACACATGCAGTACTGCTCACAGGAGGGCCCTGCAGGAATTGCTGCTGTCCCTGTATTCTCTTTCTTTAAATCAATGAGGGTACCCAGCAAGACTATGACTCAAACAGCTTTGGTTGAAAATACTTCTCTCGTGGTTACTGCTGTAGGGTCAGACACAAGTGTTAATCATAGAATCACAGAATCATAGAATCGTCTAGGTTGGAAGAGACCCTTGGGATCATCGAGTCCAACCATCTACCCTACTCTACAAAGTCATCCCTTACACCATGTCTCTTAGCACTGCAAATAATCTTCTTGCAATGATGATTTGGTCTGAATAAAAATAAGTAAGTCTTGATTACTAGTTTTGGAACGAAAAAGTGATTATGCATATAAAGAACACCCCAAAATTCAGGAAGAGGCTGAAAAACTATGAGAAACCCTACAAGCTAAGTTTTAGGCCTACTAAACTAGCACGGAACCAAGCTGCATTCATCTTGGACCTTTCAAGAGAGGATAGCATAGTGCCAACCTAGCATTTCACACGCCTTTGTGAAACATAAGCCTAGGTCTAGCTCCAAAGCAAGCGTGCACACACACACCCCCCTGTGTGTGGAAGTACTCACCATGACGCAGCTGCCCAGGCTGAGGTGCTGCAGCTCCGAGCAGAAGTTCAGAATACTGAGCAGGGCTGTTTGCTGCCACCAGGGAACACATCAGAAGGAAATACAGAAAGTGAAACAAAGAGAAGAGGTCAATTAGACATTAAAGGCTGTCACTGCATTTCCTGAAATACAGCTCAAAACTCTGTTACCGACACCACAAATGCCACTTAATGAGTCCCTGGGCACTCTACACATTGATTGGGTTAAAGCGACGGTAATCGTTACAAACCTTTATGCAAGTCACTTTGGATGTGGTTCTTCTGCATTGCCCTGAAGATACCTACACACCCATGACCTATCCGCTCGTTTCCCACAGGGAAGCTGCTGAAGAAGTGTGGTGAGTTCAAACAAGAGGCAATGCCAGCCCGGAAACCCAGAGGGCTGGTGACACACCAGCAGAGGCTCTGACACCGGCTGATGGGCTGCAGCCTGATGGAACTGCCAATAGAGCCGCGCGCCATCAGGACCGAGCCGGCGACGTTAATGTCAGAGGAGCCTCCGTGCTGACAAGGATGCTGACAACCATCGAGCGCCTGTCACCGCTTGCATGCAGATCGAAACACATATAATGTGTATTTTACAGTCATGCTCCTGCCATTTAACATGGCCGTTCTTTTCAGAAAGTGATGCACATCGCTCAGCCTGAAATCGGACTGGAACATCAGGTGCATCTTACAAAATGTAAAGCACGCGGCTGTTCTGTTCCACAATAAGGGAAACTTCATGGGTTTTTGTGTTTCTAAGACACAGAAAAGACTCATCTGCACTGCCTGTAGCCATATTTTGTTTTGTAGTTGGAAATACACACAGAGTGCAAAGAAGAATGCAGTCTGGGATTCCCCTCACAAATAGCTGTGCATCATATTTAAAACATTCCCCAATTCATTAGGGCTTTGTAATCTGTATGTGCTTGAACAAGGAATAAGTTTCACAACGTATTAATAACAGGAGTCTGTGGACATCTACAGGATATACAACAGTTTCTAATGAAAAAAACCCAAGCAATATAGAAGGGACAAAATAATCTACAACTAGTAAGTGGAACTCCTACAAGAACACTAGTCAATAATATCTCTACATAGGAGTAGTATAATTTATATGTATATACATTTAAATTATTTTACTTATTTTCAGAAAGTTTAGGGTAAAATGCATTCTTTAGCCTCCTCAGTTTTTTATATTCTAATGAAACTTGGCATGAAGATGATGTTTTGTCCTACCACCATGAAGAAAGATCTGGTCCCTTGCACTGAAAGGCTGGCAGACACAGAACAGGGGAACAGGGGCACAGTGTGGGGTACTCACAAAGATAATTTCAGACATCTAATTTAGATGTCTCCAAGGAGCAATTAGACACATATGGAGGCTCAGCTTCCAACTTGGTCTTCTAAAATTTAATTTCCCAAAGGTAGCCCAAAAGTAGATGCTGCAAGTAAGCCTTCCTCACATACATAACAGAATGATTACAGAATGGTTTGGGTTGGAAGGGACCTTAAAGATCATCTAATTCCAATGCCATGCCATGTGCAGGGACACCTCCACTAAACCAGGTTGCTCAAAGCCCCATCCAGCCTGGTCTTGAACACCTCCAGGGACTGAGCATCCAAAATTTTCCTGGGCAACCTGTCCCAGTGTCTCACCACCCTCAGAGTACAGAATTTCTTCCCACTATCTAATCTTAATCTACTCTCTTATTGTTGAAAACTGTTATCCCCTTGTGAAGGCATCGCAGGGAAAACCTTGAACTTGAACTCTACCATTTCAGGGTCACTCAGCGAAGGCTGCTCTTCACATTCCCCACCAGCCCCTCCTTGTTGGTGACAACAAGATGCAGCACAGCACATATCTTCACAGAGGTCCTAAAAAGCCACTGACCACTTGCTTGCTTTACTTTCATTCATGTTTGTAAAGAAAAAGGTAGCTAGGAAATGAAACACAAGGGCATTAAAAAGTCACTATTAGAGATGTAACACTTAAGAACACTTTAAAGCTAATAAGCGCGTAAATATCCAATATATTTTAAGTAATGTACCTAAAAAGCATATGCTTCATTTGGATCATTAAACCTGAGCAAACGAGTAACTCCAACAGAATGAGATATAGTCTTTACTATTTAACTCGGTGAAAGCCATGAGCTTTAGAAATTACTCAGGTGCACAAATTAAAAGCGAAATCCCCAAACCTCTCTCTACAAACCTTAAATATCAGAGCTAAATAACTCAGTCTCTGACTGCACACACAGTTCTAAACAGGGCTTCTGCAGGCATTCAGGTGACTCCACAGGAAAGCCAAATACCTTGACGCATTCGCCCATGGTTTTCAGTAATGGTTTCACACTGGAATTTAAACACTGGCCTGAAGGGGTGGGAAGCAGTAATATCTTTCCTTAACTGACACAAACAGTGCAAAAGTGAACAGTCACTCTGGCCAGCTTGCAGGATGTAAGATAATTCCACAGTTCCTCTTCTTCAGAGAGGGGTGAGATAGGTAGGAAGACTAACATCCACAGTTATCTTGGTGAGATAAATGAGCTACTTTTGTTACCTTGAACAGGATTTTGATGCATCTCTCAGAATACCTTTTTTAGCTCCCCTCTAATTTAAGACAGTCCTTCCTGTATTGATGCGCACCGAGTCCACATTTTCAGAGGTCCTCCCACAACCTATGAAACTTGAAGCATTATTTTAAACAATTTTTTAAAAAATCCAAACAATTTAAAAAAAGCGCTAGGAATATGGGTGATAGAAGAGAGCTTGGTAGAACACCATGTCATACCATCACAAATCATGCAAGTCAAGCCCAAGAGTAAACAACTACTTACTCAACATTAATTATAGCAGCTATATTAATTCATCTTCTGGTGCACATACATGCCCACACACAACAAATCAGACTCCTTTCAGAAGCAGTGTCTGTTCTTGTGTAACTGAGGTGGGGTTTGCGTATGTCAAGAAGGAAGAAAAAACCCTTTGTGCATGCCCGGTTGTGCCTCAGTCAACTGAGAACCCAGGTGGCAAAGGACATGAAAATAGCAGGAGAGAATGGCAGCTCACAGAATCCATATGCACTCCATATAGAAGGACTATCATTGTAATAACCTGTCTGTTCCAAGCCATCTGTCTGTACAATTCATCTCTCTGACTCGCAATACAAAATGAGTGATAGCACTCCTATTTAAGCACAGGAGAAGAGCAAGGCAATCACCCGACCCTGGAGCCGTAACACAGGCCAAACCTCAGATGTTAGAGTGCTTTGCAAGAGGATCTAAGAGGCCACCTAAACTCTGGATCAGCAAGCTTGCACCTGGAGAGAGTCTAATTTCACATTCTCAGCCAAGGAGAGAATCAAATCAGAGACTGTCCATGTAATACTATTCTCAAGGCTAGTACTCAAGACATGGATAGATTGGAGATTTTTTTGAGCCTTCCCTGTTTCACAGGTAAGGTTTGGCTCCGTACCCGCTCCTCTTTATACAGATTGAGAAAGAGTGGATGACTAAAAAAAGCCAAAGCAAACAACAAAAGAAATACTTAACAATTACTTCTTTGTGGAATAATGTACGGCACAGCTTCAGTGGTCTATATTTCTCCTGCCATCCAAGTCAAAACAAAAACTACTGAAATAATAAATTTTTATAAGATGGCTCAGACAAGAGTCCAAAGGGACCAAATGATGTGGTCTACCCTATCACTCCATTCCCAGGAAAACTGCTTTCAGGCAAGGAAAACATACAGGTGAGACCATACAGGAATTGCTTTAAGAGAGAAAACTGACATCAAACTGATTAGAAGGATATGACATTGCTGCTAAACGCAACTTTACAGAGCAGATTACAGAAATATTTTAAGGCATGGTTGTTAGTCCTAAATCTCAGAAAAGGGAACCAAGGTGCCTGAAGAGTCTCTGAAGACTTTATGAACAGGTCAGACAAACTTCTGTCAGAAAGGGCATCAATGGACTTGATCCTGACTTGGACAACAGAAGACATGGGATTACTGCTTGAAATCCTAACTTACTCCACATGAGAGAGCTGAGAGGTCTGCCCAAACACAAAGTCCTCAACTACACAATACAGGCCAGCCTGGAAGACATTTATGTGTTGTGCATAGTTCAACTCTTGGACTAACTGTATCCTACCTGTCTTTGTAAAGACCTTAGACATTACACTTAAGTTTTCACTTAGATGTTGCAAGAGTACTGCTGGTTTGGACAAGTGGAGAAACCAAATACTGGTGCCAGAGTAATATACTTGGCAAGACTGAATCTTGCTTGGCTTTTTTCAGGTCTTTTTGCATTCATGATCCAGCAGGAAGTGCCAGTCACTTCTGATGTATGACGAGGAAAGCATCCAAACAGATAGCCCGAGCTCAGTATCTGTTCAAACACAAAACCCTTCTGTCTGTGGCAGATGTGGCTCACCTGTAAAAGATGCACTTTGAATATTTGACCATTTACTCATCGCAGTTTCATCGTCAAGTAGTCCAAGATTTAAAAAAAAATAATACAAAAGGTTTTTAAAAATACATGATAAAAATACAAATGATGCAGTGTAATACGGTTGTCACATAATGGGTGCACTATAATAAAAAGCATGAAAATAAGTGCACCACAGTGTGCCTCTGGAAGATTAAAGAAAAAGCTTCAGAAAAAACTCCAAACCCTTAGGGTTGGGATAGGGAAGAAACTGTCTGCACCTTTTTATAAACTTTCTTTTTATAGAGAAATCTTAAAAACAGCTTTTAAAATTGTTACTTTACATGCTAGGAACAAACAATGGGCTGTTTTTTCCCCCCTTTCTCAGAAGAACTGTTTCTGACATAAGTTGGGAATTCTTCCAGCCTCTCAATGGAACAACTCGAGAGCCCAAATCTTTTACAAGACTTTTATTCTACTGCAATTTTTTTCTTCTAATTTTTCAATGAAGTGAATACTGAAAGTAATCTTAAAGTCTCAGTAAAGACTGCTTCCTCCCTTCTTTAAATATAGTTTCCCTTGCCTGCTATGTTTTTAATCAGAGTTACTAATTCTCCAGT